GTATTTCAGCATCGGTGGATGCTGAAATAAGTTATGAGATTAGTCAGATAAGTATCGATTTTAAAAAGCCTTATGCCTAGAGATGGGAAAATCGAGGATTTTTCGAAACTACTGCGCAGGCTGCACGGGCCTGCATTAAAGCTAATGCGGGCCAAAATTCTTAAATTCTGACGCATTCCGGAAATTTCCGGGCTTCCGAATTTTTCCGCCTGCGCAGTGTCCCATCTCTACTTATGCCCCATGGGACCGTATAATCACGTGCAACCAATTATTTCCTCGTCACATATAAAATTTATTATTCCAATTAGTTTCGTCATGAGTTTCGTCATGAGTTACGTCATTCGTCACGAGTTACGTCATTCGTCATTCGTCAATTCGAAGTTGCCTGACGAAATGGTTTCGTCATTCGTCAGTGACGTAAGGTTACGTCATTCGTCAGGCATCATTAGTGGTAATAACAGCGCTGATAACCTCAATTTTACCTATTACGACGCATTTTCAAATTACCTGACAGATGTTGTTGAATGGTATAATCAAGAAGGAATTACTTTCAGAACCCTAGATCCATTTAATGAACCTACACTTAGATATTGGAATGTAAATGGTACGTATATACGATTTTGTCTAAATAGTCTAATCGAGTAGTTGGTCCGGATTTTGAAATTAATTGTAATTAGCTATCATATGTTTTATTATTTTATTAGTTAACTGTATTATTATATGAAATTAATTTTAAAGATTTTTTTCTAAAATTTATTGAAAAAATCATTTAATGATTAGTTGCTACAAAAGTTCTGAGAACTCTTCGATAACTTCGTATCACTATTTCTAAATGGATATTTTTTAATTACATAAACACATAATGCATCATCTATTTAAACAGGTAACCAAGAAGGATGTTCTTTTAGTTGTCCTGTGATGAATACAATTATTAAAAAGGTAATAATTTCCAACATATAAAATATGAAATATTAAATATTAATGATATTTTTTTCAGGTCGGTGATTCTCTTGATTCCCAAGGCCTCTTAGGAGATATATCTGTTTCATGCTCAGATGAGAACACATTCGATCAAGAATTTTCTACCATAAGTTGCATTGACGATAATGCCAAATCATATGTCAGCCAGTACAATACACATGCTTATGGAGGAACTCAAAGAGGAGAACTTTTTAATGTTTCAAAACTAGATGGAAAAAGACTTTGGATGAGTGAAAGGTACGTAATAGTGCTGTATCAATTATTATTTATAAATATTTTGAATCATGCTCACTTTTTTCGGTTAAATAATGAAACAGTGGATTTCCTGCATCAGGAGATATGTCTGCAAGTATAGAACTCTCTGAACAAATTTTAAATGACATGAGAAACCTAAAGGTAAGAAAGACAACATATATAGTTACAGAAATGGTTTATTTATATAATAAATCTTGATTAATAACTATTTCATTATTCGAAAAAGCCCATTGCATGGGCTTATTGGCAAGTAATTGAACATGTAAGTTATTTTTTTTTTGATTTCTATCGATTTCGCGACAAACACTTTCCAGATAAATAATTTCCCGACACATCACTTTCTCGATGATATCATTTACCCAACAATACTTATCATCTGACAGTAACACACTTCAGGAAAATAAAATTCTGATAAAATTGACTGGAGCTAACTATTGCAGGCCAGTTTGTCGGGAAAGTGATAATGTTGAGAAATAGATTTTGTCAGAAATTGATATGTCAAGAAACTAATACTGTCAAGAAACAAGTATTGTTGTTTATTGAGAAATTGATAGGATCCGATTTTTTTCATTTGTTCTCCTAATACAGCATTACCAAGCTTTGCTATGTTCAATAGATTCAACCTGGCATTGACTGGGGATTGATCGGTGCAGATTTTAGTAATTCAAGCACTTTTCTAGACATACGTCTAGCATACTATGGATTCCTTCAATACACTAGGTTCATTCGCCCAGGTATATTTATTACTCACATATTTTCATATATAAATTTATACTAAAATATTATTTTAAAATTTCTTTAGGATATCAAATCATTTCTTCTAATGATAATGATACTCTTGCAGCATATGATGCTATCAACCAAACACTTGTTTTAGTTTGCACAAATAAGAATAATATATCTACAATTTGGAATATTAATGTCTCTATGTTTAATATCGGTTTATTTAGTACTTTCCGTACATCTAACAACAATGAAAAACTCGCCTTACTACCAAACATATGGCACATAATTGATGGTATTATAAACTATAAAAGTCCAGCCAATTCTATTACTACTTGGGTCTTTTATTCAGCTATCCCTAAAACTCACTCAGTAAGTAGGTTGGGAGCATCTTTGTGATCAGCATCGAAGTGTTGAAATATTGCAATAGAAACAATTAATGTAGCTAATATGCTTTTTATATATATATATATATATATATATATATATATATTTTACAAAAGAATCACTTAATAACACGCATAAAATTTAATTTTTAAAAGTAATCCACAGTTAAAGGACATAAATTTCATAGTAAGACAAGGTTCAAGGACATTATTTAGATAGTTATATTGATTATAAACTAAGTTAAAAGTTTATGAGTAAATATTTAGAAGCTCAAATTATAGAAATTTTATTATTTGGTAAATGTGTATAAGGATGATAAATCTGTTAAATTTTACTATACAGACTGAACTAATTCTAGTAGTTTGATATATTAAATTTATATTTGATTTTTAAAGTAATTAAAACTGGTTAATATTTCTAAATATATATTATTAATTTATGTAATATTACTGGATGAATTAACCAAGTCTCTAATCTTGTAATGATTTTAATCATTAATATTCAATAATAACTGCTAAATTTGTTTTGATAGTGTTTAGCTTAAATAATGTAATATTTAATAAATCTTAAGCCAGGACCTACTAAGCATAGAACATGTTCTATTAAAATAAGTTAAAATTTATACTTATAAATCAACTTATTATAAGGGTAATTGTTTTTGAATTTAGACCAAAAATGTTATTATGTCATATATAAAATTGGTCTGGATTCAAAAATATTTGCTCATAATTTTATATGTTAAATTTATAAAAAAAAATTTTATTGTTTTGATTTACTTAAGAAAATAAGTATATATATATATTCTTTAGCATTTTATCATTTTTTTGATTAAAATTACAAAGTTAAACATCAAATAGTTTTAAAAAGATTTTAATTTAAACTTGCTTAATTCTTTACATCTAAACTTGCTTAATTCTTTACTATGTACTTTAAATCAAATATCTAATTAATTACATGTTTAGTTAAAAAATTTTTTTAAAAATTAAAGAAACTTTTACTAAGCAAAAGTATTTTTTGTTTCTAAGTTGCAGAAAAGATTGTCTAGTTCTAATAATAGTTAGATTATCAAAATTACCTTAGGTACTTAGAGTTAAAAGAGCAAAGCAAACAATTTTATAATTAATTAATTTTGCAGATTTTCTATAATAAATAATCTATGATAATTAATTAATCAAATTACATAAATATTAAAAAATTTATTGTTTCAAATACAATAATACTATTAGAGAATGAAAACACAATATAATTAATACATAATCTTATTATTAACTTCTTTAAGCAATTAAATGCTTAGTTTATTTAATAAGCAACTTTTATATAACAAATAATTATAAATAAAGAAAGTTTACATAGATTTTGGCTTCAATATATTATAAAAATAGTATTTAGACTTTGTATATAAAGTAAACAAAAATAACTCAATAAATTGTTAGTTAAGATAGCAATTGAAATCAAAGTCTATTATAGTATAAAAATTATAAAACTTCAGTATAATATTATTAATAAAAATTACTTTAATTTGCAGTTAAAAAATTGTATTTATCTTTAATTCTTTAAATAAATTATATTAATTTCACATATATGTTTTTTAAACTATCTGTAAAGATTAGTAATCATATATCTATTTGGTACTTTTAGAATAAATTGATAATAAGAATTTTTTATATTTTTTAAAATATTTGAAATTTTTTATTTGTTGATATAAGATTCAAGACTACAAGAAACATTTATATAATACAAATAAATCTTAACCTATGTTATAAGTTCACCTTCATCTAAGTTTAAATTGTTTAAAATATTATTATTTCTAGTATATTTGAAGAATACATTGTTAAACTATTTAAAAATAAAAGAATTGATAAAGTTACCAATATTAATTCTAATATTTTTTAAAAATTATAGATGTTTTGAATTATATACACTGTTATTGATAATAGGTAAAGTAAAAAACTGAGTTTTAAATTTTTAACATTCTGATTTTCTAATAAGTTTACTTTTAAATATAGTTTTATTATAAAATTATTAATATTTTTAAAATCATAGTTTAGTATATATAACTTTTAATAAGTAATATCTTGATTATTTAAGAACTTTATATATAAAGTTCTAATTTTATTAATTGCTATTTTTAAATTTTTTGTTTGACTATAAAATATTATTTTTAAATTATTTTTAAATTATTTTTAAATATTATAGTTATAATATATATCAGGTAATTAATAAAATTCTGAACACCTTAATAATTTTCAAATAAATTAGGTTTATTTTTTTTAAAAAATACAGAAATCTTTTTTATTTATAAAATTTTATATTTGTATTGTTTTATAAAAAATGAACCTTATTTTAACATAACTTTTTCTTAATTTATAAATAGTATAAAATTATTAATAATATTTATTTGATAAGGTCTTAAGCTAATTATATATAAAAATTCAGTTAATAGTTATATATTTGTTAAAATACATTAGAAGAATATTTGTTATTTCTTAATAATTTTTTTTATTTTGAAACATATATTTTATAATTAAAAAAAAATAAATATCTATTTATATAAATAGAATTATAATTTTTTAAGAGACTATTGAAATGTTTTTAAGTTAAAAAGATTATTTCTGATATCTTTTTTGTTTATATTTAAAGGTTTATTGGATCTTACAAAATTTTAAAATATTATAATTGCAGTTCTGTTTTCAATAAGTTCTGAATGAACTGTTGTTAAATATTATCAATTCATTTATAAGTATAATAATAATAATTCATTTAACTATCTACCTAAAGGCAGAAAACCCTTCTGGTTTTCTTACTTAAAAGATACAATTCTAGCACACTCTTATTATTGAAATATTTTATCACATTATCAATTACCAAGCCACAACCCATATGCTTATCATATTATTAACACATTTAAAAAACTTACTAAATCTAAATTCTGGTTACTCTCTTATCACAATGATGAAATTATTATCAGGAAAATATGAAAATATTTTCCATCATCTAACCACTACTCTATTACACACTAGACCTCCGATATCGACTTAAACCATACAAGATTTTACTCTTTACCTCCTGTCAGCTACAAACAATGTACAGGATGCCATCTTAATTCTCATAGAATTAACCAAACCTGTAACATTGAAGTCTCTGCAATTATTTCTGCACAATTTCTTGGCAAAACTAATTCAAAGCACCAACTTAATCTTAATGCCAATTACTTGGACCTTATTTGCTTCACAGCTGTTAAGCATCCAACTTACATCCCTTCTTTATCTAACATTCCTATTACCAACTCTATCACCTCCAAAATATTTACTTCAAGTGAATCTACTAACAAACTTATATCCATTTCACATCACAACCTCTTTTACTAGCAACTATCTTTCTATACTGATGGTTCTGTAATTGATATTGGTACTGACCAATGCACAATGGGCATTAGTTGGATTCAAGTTGATAATAATAACCAAATTACTAATTCCTTTTCTGCTAAAATCAAATTTTGGTCTTCATCTTACAAAGCAGAACTATTCTTAATTATTACTGCAATCTCAACTGCTCCTCGAAACTGTATTATTAATATCTTTACAGACTCTCAATCATTAATCTCCAAATTTAACAATCTTCAACTTAAGCTAATTCACCCTAACAAGTTACTTAAATTTAATTCATGACCAATTTGGCACACTTTTCTAAACATTATCAAATCATATAAACTACAAATTACTTTTTACAAAGTATAGGCTTATTTAGACAACCATTTCAACGAGCAAGCAGACTCTCTCACCAAACAACACCCACTGTCACCACTTCTTTCATTTAACTACACAAATCTCTATAACTCTTATTATATTCTCCAATGGGAACATCATTATGTAGAACTTCTTACAAGGCACTTCATAAACAAATTTGTAAAGCCTACATCTTAGCTATATGGGCATCACAAAAATGAAACAATGAATAGTCATACTTCAACCAAGACATTGACTGGAGATCTACTTGGCTCTACTTTAATCACAATCAAAAACCCTCAT